ATGCATGCATGCATGGGTTGATGGTTGCATGGATTGGTGGGTGGGTGATGGATGAGTGGACGGGTGGGTGGGTGGGTGAATGGGTGGTTGGATCGATGGATGAAGAGCTGGGGTGTGTGGGGCAGAAGGAAGGAGGGTGGGAGGAATGGATGAAAAGATGGAGAGATGGATGGATGGATGAATGAATGAATGAATGAATGAATGTATGTATGTATGTATGTATGTATGTATGTATGTATGTATGTATGTGTGGATGGGTGGATGGGTGGATGGGTGAATGGATACGTGGCTAAATTGATGGAAAACTAACTTGATGGATGGATGAGTTGATAAATGAATGGATGGATGAGTGGGTGGATGGGTGGTTATTCCATAAATTGGCATGTTTTGGTACTCCATCTCTGTACATAAGTAGGTATCCAAAGCTATCCATTTTCATGGTCAATACATCAAACATGCATATCCTATTTCCCAAAAAGAGTTCTTTGACTTGCGTTATGTCAGAGCCTCAACTGCCATTGCCCTGTTTTATGTTTCTTGTTCTCTTCAATCTCATTGGATGTACAATTATTCCATGTGCATCCATATGGGATCTCCAACTACCTGCTATTTTATATGATCCAGCCACTTTGGTCACAATAAGACCAAAAAACCTCCATGCGCAAAAAACCCCCACTCCATGCTACTTTTATTAATTCCTTTTTCCTTTTCCTTTCCATGTAGTCATTCCAGGCATGGTTCCATAACCCAGCTTCCCACTGTGAACATCCAGAGGACCATGTCACTAGAAGGGTAAGGGGGAACCAATATTATAATGTTTGGATCTTTTGCCATTGCCATTTGCTTAAGCTTTTTTCCCCCCCATTCATAACCATTGAATCTACATGTACGCTATATCCCGAATATAGTTTATGATGACATATGTGCTGCCTCTTTTCTTTAAGAGGTTAGGACAATGTGCGCATAATTCCCTAATCTGTTTGGTATTCAAGAATGAGATTCAGAATTGTTGTTTCTGGACCAATCGCCAGGAAGCTGTGAATTGTAGCGTTACCTTAGGCGTGAAAGCCCGCCAGATGTTTTTGGCTCAATCGCCAGGACCCTGTGAATTGTAGTCCCACCAGGTATGAAAGCCTGTTTGGTTACTTTGGCCCAATCACTAGGAGACGGTGAGTTCTAGTCCTGCCTTAGGCATGAAATCTGACTGCTGACTTTGTGCCAATCACTCTCACTCAACCCAACTCACCTAACAGGGTTGTTGTGGAGAAAATAGGAGGCAGAAGGAGTATTAGATATATTCTCCATTATGAATTATTTATAAAAACAATAAACATGGGATAAAATAAATAAAATAGTAATAATAATCAACATCCTCATCTGTTTGACCTTAGGAAGGTCCTAGGTCTTTGGGTAAAGGTTTCCCTCGCACATATGTGCTAGTTGTTCCCAACTCTAGGGGGCAGTGTTTATCTCCGTTTCAAAGCCGAAGAACCAGTGCTATCCAAAGACGTCTCCTTGATCATGTGGCCGGCATGACTAAAGGCCGAAGGTGCATGGAACGCTGTTTCCTTCCCACCGAAGGTGGTTCCTATTTTTCTACTGCATTTTTTTTCGTGCTTTCAAACTGCTAGGTTGGCAGAAGCTGGGACAAGTAACGGGAGCTCACTCTGTTACATGGCACTAAGGATTCGAACTGCCAAACTGCCGTCCTTTCTGATCAATAAGCTCAACCTCTTAGCCACTGAGCCACCACATCCCTCTCTTAGATCCTTGGATAGATGGACAAAAATGCCAAACCCAGTCTGGATATTTGGCTGACTCTGCCACCAAGAATAATAAACAATAATAAAAAATAAACAGGAATATCTAGAATGTAAAGGATAGACTGGGAATTTCAGGGGAAATTTCTTATAAATCACTTCCAGAAATGTTTTATTTTTTAAACCAACTCTACAAGGATATTTCCTGAAGTCACAAAGGGGTCAAGCTCAACTAAAATGAAATTATAAACAATAGAATGATTAACCAGAAAACAAGAATTGTTCTTTGAGAAATTGTCTCTTCTATTCTCCTACTGGGGTTATGCATGTATTTGCACAATATTTGATAGCAATCCATGATATTCAATATATAAGTAGTTTTGAACTGGTGACATTGATGTCACCACTTCTAACGACTGATTAGAGATGCCCTTGTTATCATTGCTTAATAACTCTCACCCCACCCCCCAAAAAAGGCGTCAAACAGATTTTAAACCTAGCCCAATCTTCTTTTGGGCTCAGAGGTTAAGACTCTGAGCTTATGAACTGGAAAACTGGCAGCCCAGGTTCGAGACCCCTGCTATGGAGTGAGCTCCCATCTCCACCCCAGCTCCTGCCAACCTAGCAGTTTGAAAGCATGCAAATGTGAGTAGATAAATAGGTACCATTTCGGTAGGAAAGTAACAGAGCTCCATGACATCACGGAAATGTTTTCAGACAGCACTGGCTCAATGACGTTGAAGCAGAGATGAAGTCCATTGCTTGTAGTTGGCAACTTTTCCTCCTAAAATTCAATTGGAATCTGTTTCCTAGTTCTGTTCTGATCTAGGGTTCCTGAGACAGTAAAAAGCACACGCTTAGTCCCCAAAACCCTATTTCAAAGGCTGTGAATTATGTTTATTCACAGCTTGTAATGAGTCACAAATAGTTTGCAAAGAGTCCGACAGAAGTCTGCCAAAGTCTTTCAGGGTAGGGCTGATAAGCACCCACTTTTTTGTCCCTTGAAACGCTGCCAAAGACCCAATTGGCAATTAGCTTTGCAAGGCCACATGGAGCGCAGAGTCAAAACGGAGCTTCAGACTTTAAACTGACCAGAACGAACAAAGTTGCTTCCTGCAAAGGCTCATGTGCCTTTGCTCCTCCTTTATGTCTTATGGGAGGAGCCAATCATCTCCAAGCCTTACTCCCGAGTAGCCCCTTTTGTTTTAACTGTTCTTGCCTTCTGGCAGCTTTGCACATGCATGCACTAGGAATAGGCTCCCCCTGTTCCTCTGCCTCGCTGATGTCCGATTCTGGAGGCTCCGGAGCAGAGATGGGTTCCTACCAGTTCGCACCTATTCGGTAGAACCGGTTCGTCAAATCTACCGAACCGGTTAGAAGAGGTTCCACCAGTGGACCCGGAAAGCAGGCCACACCTACAGAAGAGGTTCCAAAAAATTTTGAAACCCACCACTGCTACAGACACAAACAGAGAGAGAGAGAGAGAGACAGACTGACACAGAGATAGAGAGAAAGAGAAAGAAAGGAAGAAAGAAAGAAAGAAAGAAAGAAAGAAAGAAAGAAAGAAAGA